AAAAAAAAAAAAAAAAAAAAAAAAAAAAAAAAAAAAAAAAAAAAAAAATTATTTTACCCAATTTCTCCGTAACACCCGTCTCCCTCCCCCTTTCCCATCTTTAGTAACCATAGGTCTGTTCTCTCCTTCAGGAAGTTCAATGTATTATTATGGTCTTTCTTTCTTTCTTTCTTAGCTCCCACTTACAAGTGAGGACATGCGTTATTTCTCTTTCTGTGCCTGGTTTATTTCACTTAACATAATTTTCTCCAGGTCCATCCGTGGTGCCACAAATGGCAGAATTTCATTCTTTTTATGGCTGAGTAGTATTCCATTGTGGGTAAGGGACACAAAGAATAATTACAATTTGTAATAATGAACATGCTAATAATATTGATTTGATCATCACATATTGTACACAAATACTGATAGCCAACACTGTACCCCCAAAATATGTAAAATCAATTATGTCTCAATTAAAAATTTTTTTTAAAAAACTGGTCTAACCAATGGACATCCAATGCTGTACCAAGGAACTGGTCATGGTGGAAGAAATCTGCCCCAGTGTAGACAACAAGGGGTGCATTTTTTTTTTTTAGAAAATTTAAAAGCAATAATGAACTGAAAGTCCTAAAATATATTATTTTAAAGATTCTTGTAATATTTTTAACATTAATGATTTTTTGAATATACAAAAATCTTTTAATGGTATTTTTGCTTTTACTACTCATAGAGATTACTGATTGATTACTTATAGCAATGACTAACTTTGGAAAGAGTGATGCCATCCAGTTGGTAATTCCACATCTTATTCCTTAATGGAAAATTCAGGTTATCTCTGTTTTGAATACCACTCAACAAGATCAGTAACAAAGCTGGTATTCAAGGTACTTAAGGCCACTGACATTGTAAACTACATTTCCTTGAAAATATGGCCACCTAGGAAATAAATTTAAATTAAATGGAAATTGTTTTATTTACACAGTTTCACATACGAAATAAGAACAGAAGAATGGCTTAAAAAATGAAGCTAAGAATTTAGTTTAAGTCTTTAAGGCCTCTTTTTCCTACCTGGTTCAGCATTGCATCAGTAACATCTATGTTTGGTTTCTGTCCATAGGGAACTGTCAGAGAGTACAGATTTGTCCAAAATCTACCCCACATATCACCTATTTAAGAAAAGAATCTGTTAATATATGACAAAGACAGCAGAAATAGAGACCTGATTTTACATAGCACATGATATCAGATTGACAAACAAGCTATACAGTATTCTAGATTTAATCTAGTTTCTGTGCTTCCCATTTACCACCTCTTTTTCCCTTTTTTCCCTCTCTCACTCTAAACGTCCAACACTTCCTCCTTCTGTCTTCTCTAAAAGATTAAAATGGCAGGAAATTATGTGGTTAGGCAAAGCTCGTGAGGGAATCATCCTAGTTTCTCTCATCTCAAATAACAATTCAAAGGCACAATTTATTAAATATATGGAACATCATAGCTACTATAAATTAGAAAGAGGTTTATATATAATCCACCATCCATGGGACAAAATACTACAAATTAAACTATCAGTAATATCTAGTATTGGATTCAAAAGAGATCATATGAAAATCATCATTTAGGAACTTCTAACTAGTAACTAAATTCCACTTTTATTACTATAGTAGGACACTTAAATGGGTGACTTTTGAAAGATATCAAACAAATGTTAAGTTGGATTTCGAGGCCAGAGACCCCAAAAAGGAAGACGGATCTAGAAAAAGTCAATCTAATAGCAGGACCAGAATCTTGGCGCCAAAGAAATGAGGCAACACAACTACATGAAGAGTATTCAAGTGAACTTATATATTTTTTAATTAAAATTTAGTAGAGATAAATGTGAAGTCCTATGCTTAAATTTTAAAGGTAAACCTATCCACCATAGAAATATATATGTGACATCAGGCTGAAACACAGTCTTCATATAAAAGACCAAAAGTGGCCCAACAGACAGTATGACATGGTTTCTAAAACACAAATGAGACCTTAAGCTAAATCAAAAGAATTATAGTGTCTAGAACAAAGGCAGGCATGGTATCATTTTTAATTTATGTTAGTCAAACCTCTTCTGGAGTAACTGTTCGGTTCTGAGCACGACAATTGAAGAGGGACATCGACGAAGTATATAGTTCGTTCAAAGGAGAATAATTAGAAAAGTGGGATTTTAAGGGACAGTTGAAAATCTGTGTAGATCTTTAACTTGAAAAAAGAAAAGAGTGTATACATGATGATAACAGTAACAGTCACTAAATGTATTGAGTACATACTCTTGTGCCAGGTAGGATGCTGTGTCTTATATGATGGCTGTTTACAACTATCTGGAAGGTCATCTTGTAGAATAAGAATTGACATATTCTAGGTAACCTCATAGCATGGAAATAGGAGTAATTAATAAAAAGCATTAGAGGGATGTTGATTGAGTTCCACATAAAGTAGAACTTTCTTATAACTGGTGCCATGCAGCAATAGGTTATTCTGCCTTGGAAGAAAGAATCACATCACACCAGACAGATTTAAGCAGAAACTGAATTACTAAATAATGCCTACGAAGGACATTGTAGAGAGGATTTCTATATTACTTTCAGGTTAACAGTCTCCACAAGTCCTTAATCCATATTCTCTCCTGCTGACAGACATGAGGCTTGGCTGTGGAGGAGAATTAGCTACCAGTAACTTAGCTTGACTACAGTAAGCACGCTACATACGCATGGCATGAAATTTTCAAAGGTTTTGTGGTTTATTTGGCCTCAGCTGCTGGGTGGAAGAGGAGAAGATGGCCACTCTCCTTCATTCATTACTCATATGTATTCTGAACCAAGCAATTTTCAGCAGAAGTAACTGGTGGAGTCTAGAATGAACTTAAGGAAGTTTTCACTTAGCTATACCTTAATTCTAGAAAGGCTTTCTCTCACCCTTAACCACCCCCAGCCTACCAAGCTTCTTTCCTCTGACAACATGATACTAAAATCCCAAACTCCACCTCAAGAACTTAGCCAAACAACTTGAATACTTAAACATTATTTTCCCATTTCCACTCTCATCTGAACCTGGAATTCTTTCTCTAGTTATCTTAAGTAATCTCTTTATTTTGTGGATTGTGGCCAAACTAATAACTCTTTATGTACGTTTAAAAGTAATGTAATAGAGAGTAATTTAAAATGGATTTTCTGTTAAAGTGCTTTCCAAATGTAATTTCTGTAATGTTACTAATTTTATTCACAGAATTTTTCAAAAGTCTTATGTTGGGCTTCATTTAAAAGATAATTTCGGGCCGAGCCAATGGTACACTCAGGAGAGTGCCGCTGGGAGTGCGGCAGCGCTCCCTCCGCGGGTTTGGATCCTATATAGGGATGGCCGGTGCGCTCACAGCGCTCACTGGCTGAGCGCGGTTTGGCCGGTCTCAAAAAGGACAATAAATAAATAAATAAATAAATAAAAGATAATTTCATTAGTGGAAATAACAAATAGCCAAGTATACAAAGAATTCCTTGGGTTTCTTACCAAGCAAATGAGCAGGGAGGCATCCAGTCGGACTGATATAGGAAGGGTAGGCATCCATCAGCTTTGCCCTCACATAGGCATGAAGCTGTTCATATAATGGTTTAATCTGAAAAGCCCAGGAAGAAAGTTTAAGACCAGGAGCAGCCAATTCCAATTTCCAAAGCCCAATACTAGAAACAGGAGCTTCTTAAACAAGTACCCCACAAATATATATAATCAATTATGTTTCAATTAAAATAAAACTCAGAAAAAAAACAGGTAAAATTTCCTGAAATTATAATTTTTCTCCTCTCAATTGTTCTGGAGAGTTTGAAAGCATTCCTTCTTCCCAGCTATTTATGGTGACTAGCTCCACCGCATAAATCAGTAACCACACCTGCAGGAACACAGGTCTCAAAATGAAAGATGTAAGAAAATTCATTTTTTTAAAATATTCATTTTTAAGATGTTACCTACTTCCTTTGTTTTTAAATTGAGGTATCATTTACATACCGTAAAATTTACCCATTTTTAAGTGTGGAGTTTCATGAATTTTAATATGTTGAAACTATTGGGAAACCATACCTCCATCCAGTTTTAGAACACTCCCATCACCTTCCAAAATTTCCTTGTGCCCATTTGCTGTCAATTCCACTCCTACCTCAAGACGCAGGTAATCACTGAACTGATTTCTGTCTCTATAGTTTTTCCTATTTTGGACATTTTATATAAATGAAATTAGATAATATGTGACCTTTTGTGTCTGGCTTCTTTCACGTACAGGGTTTTTTAGGTTCATCCATTTGTTGCATGTATCGGTAATTCAGTCTGTTTTATTACTGAGCAGTAGTCCATTGTGCAAATATAGCAGAGTTGGCTTATCCATTCACCAGTTGGATGACTGGGTTGTTTCCAGTTTGGGTCTATTATGCATAATGCTGCTATGAACATTTGTGTATGTCTTTCTATGGATATGTGTTTTCATTTATCTCATATAGATACCTAAAAGTGGAATAGCTAAGTCACATGGTAAGTGTGTGTTTAACTTCTTAAGAAATTTCCAAACTGCTTTCCCAAGTGGCTACCCCATGTTACATTTCTGCCAGCAGTGTATGAGGGCTCCAATGTCCCCACATCCTCCCTAACACTTAGTGTTGTCAGTCTTTTTGATCATAGTCTTTCTGGCGGATGTGTTGCAGATTTTCATCATGGTTTTATCTGCATTCCCCTAATAATTCTTTACTAGATTATTTGCCATTTGTATAAGTCCTTTGATGATATACTTATTCAAATCTTTTGCCCATTTCTTTTTTAAAGGGTTGTTTGTCTTCCATTTTTGATAGCTCTGCCCAACTATGGCTGTGACACAGTAGCCTTATATCAGAATTTTGAAGGTGCAAGGGTAAAGGCTAAATGAAGGAAGAGGGACACATTAAGAAGTATCCAGGGGACACTTCTGCTCATAAAACTCTTTTTCCCTATGAAGATTTCCTTAGTCAAAGGCTAATAAAATAATAGTACCAATAGTCCTAAGGAAGGAAGCCAAACCTATGTCTCTGTTAATGAAGACAGCATCATCCCCAGGTAGCTCACAAAGACCCTTCCTTCTAATCTTTTCTTCTTCTAGTCTTTCTCTTGGTGATTACTGGTCAGCGACTGAAAGGGGGAGGAAAGCAGAGCAATTCTGATCACCTGTAGGGGCTTCCCTATTATTCTCCAAAGTTGTGTCAAGCTCTAATATTCATAACTCTGTGATGCCTTGGAATGGCTGAACAGTGTGTTAAGAACAAGCCAGAATGCTTTTGGTCCCTGTCCCCTTTTCGCCATACACTGCTCTATGTTTGTTTCTGTTTCTATGTGTAGATCCTCGGTTACCTCCTCAAAGGTGCTTTCCACATCTTTAATCAGCTGGTTGCGGGTATAATTATAGCCATCTTCTCCCTCTGCTTCATAATCTCCTCTCCAATAATCCCCGTAGTCCTCATAATCTGTTTTTTAAAAAAGAGAAAGGAGAACATAAGGAAAAGAAAGAGAGAAAACACAGTATATGCAGATTAACATTGCTGAAGGGTTAAAAGCATTCTAAAGTTTTATCACATTTTTACTGCCCTTCTGAACATCAACTCAAAGGGATGCAAATGAATGACAACCCTAGCTAATGTTTGTTAAACACTTGCTCTGTGCCAGGAGTTTAAATGTATTATCTCGTTTAACAAGCCACACAAAAACCGTACAAGATTGTCATCATGACATCCCTTACTGTGCAGATGAACAGCCTGTGCTTATTGTTTAAATAAATTTTATTGTGGATATTTAAGGTACATGGGATGATGATATAAGATACACACAGGTAGTAAAATGGTTACTGTAGTGGAACAAATTAATATATCCATCATCTTACATAATTACCCACTTCTCCCTATGGCAAGAACAACTATAATCTCATATTATAGATATCAGAACAACTATAATCTAATCATTTAGCAAAAATCCTGAATATAATACACTGTTATCACCTATAGTCCTCATGTTGTACATTAGATCTTTACACTTGTTCATCCTACATATCTGCTGCTTTCTATCCTTTGACCTACATTTCCCATTTTCTTCCCACTTCCCTGCCCCTGATAACCACTGTTTTATTCTCTGTCTCTGTACTGTATATATGACCTTTTTTTTTTCTTTTTAAATCCCATGTATAAGTGAGATCATGGAAGACTTTTCTTTCTATGTCTGGCTGATTTTACTTAGCATAATGTCCTCCGGGGTCCATCCATGTTGTGGCAAATGTCAGGATCTCCTTCCTTTTTAAGACTGAGTCATATTCCATTACATATACTTATATACCACAGTTTCTTTATCTATTCATATATTGATGGACACCTATGTTGTTTCCATATCTTGGCTATTAGGAACAATGCTGTAATGAATATGGAGTGCAAATATCTTTACAAGATGGTGATTTCATTTCATTTGGGTATATACCCAGAAGAGAGATTGCTAGGTCCTATAGTGCTTCTATTTTTAATTTCTTCAGGAACCTCCACACTGTTTTCTATAATGGCTGCACCAATCTACATTCCACCACCATCCTGTGCTTACAGTGCTTAAATCACTTGTCCGCAGTCACACAGCTGCTACCGGGCAGAGGCACACTCTTAGACTCCTAACTCTAGATCTCTATTTTCTCCATATGTCAGTTTACATCTTTAGCTTTAAAATATGAGATTGTATCTCTAAGTTTTTTAATTCTCATTTTGTTCATGGCCTTATATTTTCAGATCTGATCCAACTCATCTTAGATATTGCCACAGTGAGCTGTGTTTGTTTGAAAATTATACGTACACACGGCACATCTCTATATGCTCCATTTAGCATTTCACCATCAGGAAACACGAGCTTGTGTTAGGGCCTTAACTAATAAAGTTTGTAAACTTAGTTTGATAATTTTTCTTTTTACATGCACATTGGCTGATGAGGAAGATGAGGAAAGACATAAGTATTTGGATGGAAGCAAATGCATGATATTGTAAAACAAAAATGGTGGTAAGCTACTGTCTCCAGCTTGCCTGAGGCTTGAGAATGTGAGTTTAAGTGGCAGTTGGAGAAATTTAGAAACAACAAACGAGAAAAAAAAATCTTCCTTACCCAACCCAAAGGGGCAGTGAATCACCAAAGCATAAAGTTATTCATAATACCATGATTTCAGCTCGTTATTCAGGCAGAAGAATAAGTTAGGGAACATGGAAGTGCCTTCCCACATTAGGTTTTTTATGACCACATGACTTGAGTTATAATTACAACTATAGAGAACATTGGGTTTCCAGCCTAAACTAATCTGAGGGTTTTTGTTTGTTTGTTTTTGTTTTTTCTTTCTTTCTGGGATATTACCCTGAGATAAACACACAAATGAACTTTGAGAATGAACTGTGGCCAGAAAGGGATTTAGGTGTCTTTGTCTATCATCCTGTCTGAGAAATAGGATCCTCACTCAATCCGCATATTCCTTTGGGAACCCTTGGGGGCCTGAGACCTTCCTGGATAGCTCATACGTCCTAATTCCTGAATAATAATTCATTTCAGGCTCTGTAGTTGAGTCTCGTTCCTGAGCTTTTTAAACTGTAGAATGCCAATGCAACTTTTCTTATTCCCTAGTAGTTTCTTCTGGAGGCAGGTAACCTGAATTCAGCAGATGATTGTTAAGTTAGGGGTATCCCTGATATCAAAAGGCAGGCTTGATAATGCATGAGAAATAGGCCCATCACCCCATACGGAGTTTCAGCACCCCTACAGACCAGCTGACTTACTGTTCGCTCTTGCCATCTCATTTTTCAGGACTACGTACTCTTCATATAATGGCCTCAGCTGCTTGCCGACCTCAGACCTCCAGCCTTCCCAAGCCCAGAGCCTCTCACTGTAGTCTGTACTCTTTGCCATTATGCTATCCAAACCTGTTATCACAAAGCACCCAAAGTGAAATAAACATGCATTTGTTAAAATTTTATTTGTAAACAATTATATGAACTTTAAAGTATTAAAAGTAAGGTCAGCAGATAGCAACGTCATAAAGTTATTAACTGAAATCTCATGATTCCTTAATTTCCTCACCCTTATTATAATTCCAAAATACATCTGCAGAGAAATAAACCACTGAAATAATTTAATTACTAACTTAATTAAATTACTTGCCTGTGATAGAACTTACAATGAAATTATATTAAAAGTTAAAAGAGCATCCATGTGTTGAAACACACATATTTGGAATCTTCTCATCTTTGAATTATCCATCTGAAGAGCACAATGTCATCATCTAATGTCAATATCATTTTTAAAACTTGGGAGAAAAAAGTAAAATTCATAATCACTACTCAAAATTAATAGCTTACCTGGTTCAAGTAATAAGCACTCCTGTGGATTATTTGGGTTGCAAACTTTTCCAGTACTGTAGATGGTGCTCATTGCATTTAGAATTGTGTTCAACTGCAAATTAGAGATAATAAATAATGTTTACAATGAAAAAATATGCTAAAGAGAATGGTAATGTAAAGATCTCCTGTTGGCCATGTGGTTTTTGATGCCTCAAAATACAGAAATTCACATCTTCTTTGCCAGATTTCTTCTTGTATTTAAGGAAAAAAAATGTGTTAAACTTCCCCACTGCCAACTAGCACAAAGCCTTATAAGCACATAATAAATATATGTGGAGTAGTTGAAATAAACAGATACACAAAAACCCCAAGAATGTTCCTCACTTACACATACAGAAAGAAATGCATTTTTTTTTTTGTTTTATTCAGTATATATTGAGCCTCTACTATGTCCTACACTCTGACAATTCTGAAATGAATGAGTCACGGGCCCTCAAGGACCTCAAAGTTATGAAATGGTGAGGCATCCATAACAGCAATAACTACATAACAGAGTAATAAGTGCTATAACTGTTACCAAAATGTAATGTGGCAGTATGGGGGGTGGGGAGAGAAATTAATTACCTGGAGATTCAAGAATGGCTGCAAGGAGGGGGGTACATTTGAGCTGTGTCTTGGAGAAGTAGGAATTGGTCAGGTAGAAGAGGGAGGTAGAGGGCAGAGCCTAAAAGATGGAAAGAAGTTGGAAAAGACAAGGCATTTTCAGGGGGAAGTGAAGGACATGGGAGCCAGGCTCTCTCCCACAGATTATTTGAGAAGCACTGAATTAAAGGCCCTGTTTCCCCTTCTTCTGTTTCCCTCTTCCATTATTCTTTCATTGTACTACAAGAGTCATTACCTAAAACATGAAATCGATCCTAGGCTTAAACTTCCGCAAGGTCCCACAGTCCAAAGGAATACATGTAAACTCCTCTCCATGGCACCAAACCCCTCGTGGTCTCTTCCTCTACCTGCTTCTTCGATCTCCCCTACTCCCTCTCCATTGAGTCCATGCACTTTTGAGTTTCCCCTCTTCCCAAACACTTCAAGCTCTTAGATGTGTTTCAGTGGTTTTCAGACCGGCTGCACATTAATTAGAATTATCTAAGAATCTTTTAAAAGTAGAATGTCCAGGCTCCACCCAAGCTGGAACAGGCTGTCTAGATTTGAATGGGCAAGGTTTCTTGTGGTGTCCTTGAGAAAAAGATAAGGAAGCAGGGAAGGAATAAGGTAAAGTGAATTAATAACTAGTTGGATAACTGGACCCAGAGAAGGCAGACTAATAAATATCAATTCGTGGAAAGAGACATGCCATATGGCTTTATCTTTGTCCTTACCATGCATTTTTATTTTTTAAATGTAGATTAGAATATACAGAGTTCCAGAGGACAAGCAACTGAGAAAGAGACCTTTGATGTTAAATAGCTAAATATTTTAGACTAAAATAATTCAACAGGCTACATCAGGGGTCTGCAGACCATATCCTGTCTGTTGCCTGATTTTGTAAAGTTTTATTGGAATACAGCCATGCTCATTTATTTATGTATTAGCTATGGCTGATTTTCCACTACAATGGCAGAGTTGGCTAGTTGTGACACAGACAATAAGGCTTGCAAAACCTAAAATATTAACTCTGTCCTTTCACAGAAAAAGTTTGCTGACTTCTGGGCTAGAAGGATGAGATAGAAATGAATATAGGCTTTCTTGAACTTGGACAAACTAACTACCTAAGAACAGAATTTTAAAAGGTGCCATTTCAGAGCAAATTTGGAGACTTCATTGACAGTGAGATTGATATGAGCCAACCTTGGTATTTGGTTATCAAAAACCAAAAATCAACGAAAAAAACTAATACAGTCCTAGACTGCCTTAGTAGATGTAGACCACAGGGAGCATAAAGTCATATTCCTGTTCACCTCTGTGCAGACTGGAACCCACTAAGAGTGTTGTATTCAGTTCAAAGACACTGACAAAACAAAGACAGCAACTAGGGCTGGTGAGGGGACTCAGCACCACTGCATAGGGGGAAATTGGCAAAGTGAAGGATGTTTAGCCTAGACAAGAAAAGCCTCAAGTGGTTCTAAACAAACTAGCTGCCTCCATTTATTTAAAGACTATTATGGGAAAGAGCAGTTTGGCTCTGGAAGGTAGAACAAAGTAAAGGTAAAGCATTTTGCATTCCATGGAGGGAATATCTCCCATTGCTTGGGGAGTACTCACACATGGAACTGCTGTTTTGGGAAGAGTGGAATAGCCCATCCCTGAAGTGGTTTGAGCTGAGGCTGTTAGCCACTTGTTAAATAAGTTGCAGAAGAGAGTCAAAGATGAAAGGGGGAGAGAATTAGATTGCACATGGGGCTTCTCAGGCTTGGCACTGTTGACTTTTTGGACCAGACAATATTTTGTTGTTGGGTGCTGTCCTGTACATTATGGAATGTTCAGCAACATCTGTACCCACTAGATGACAATAGTATCCTTCAGTTGTGGCAACCCAAAATGTCTCTAAATGTTGTCAAATATCCTGGGGGGGGCGGAGGGGTAGGGGACCACCCCACTTAAGAACCACCAACACAGATTAAATGTATTCTTCAGGCTGCCTGATCCTCAGTAAGCTGACCTCTGTATAGAGTGTCTGTACAAACCACAGTCCCTGGAACAATTCCAGTTTAATTCTGTCTTAATGTAATTATTACCAATGTCTTCTTTCACTCTCAAAAAGATCCCAACGTAGATGATAAAGTATATGGTCACCCCACCTAGGCACAGAGCTCTTTCTAATGTCAGCATTACTGTCCTTGCAAACAAAGAAAGCAGTCATGGTTGATATTAATGTTTAATATTTCCCAAACATTTTGATTCTTGGGATCGGTACTAAAATGTTCACAAATATACCTGTCTGCTTTTGTCTGCTGAGAGCGCTGAAGACCCACTCTGCTGAAGGGCCTGCAACTGAAGCTTGACTGTGAGATTCTGAATTTCTTCTAGTGAATAATTTTTGGCAAGTTTGGACTGTTCTTCATAAAAGGCAGACCATTTGGCTCCAGCAGCATCCTGAAATGACAAGAAATTGAAGTTGAAATGACACTGCTTGAACAGTTAGAACAGAAGACACAATCCAAGAACATCTTCTGGAACATCTAATATTTCCTGAGTTTTTTCATTCTCTACTTTGAAGAAGGTCAAGGTTTAGGTTAAGATTGATCAGGTCACTCTTGGTCACTCTCTCTTTCTGGCCCAGTGCCTAGTTTTCCCAAGGGTCCTGTCCCAAGAACTGGAAGTGAATTCTCACAGATAATTCACATTGTGGGGTTCTGGAATTTATTGCTTTAGTGCTGTGACGTAGGTGAATTGGCCAAGGATTTGAGGATGAATGCTCTAAAATGAGGACCCAGTAAAGCTCAGAGTGGGCATGATGGGAATACAGCCCCTCACGGCAATGGGAACCATGAGAAATGAGAAGCAGTTCACAGGAAGCTGATAGGTGCCATGACTTAGCCCAGAGATTCTGATCTTAAATTATGATCTCCCAAAAGAAGGCTGCCTAGAATATGGCCATTTGGTAGCCATGGTGATTTTCTATGAGCAAAAGAAATCAACAAGCAGGTGATGATGCCAGGACACACTTGCCCCCCCCATCTTGAACATCAATAGGTAGGTGGACTTCTCCAAACTTCTCTAGTGTAGTCTTTTCTCAATGCACAAATTCATTTCCATTTGTCAAAGACTAAAATGAGCAACTACTTTGTGTGTTGTGCTGCTCTAGACCATACAAAAGAGGTAGCACATAAAGACAGTTAAGAGCTCCATTCTTAGAGTGAGACACATGTGACTAGCTGTGTGACATTGGGTAAATTACTTAGCCTCTCTGAGCCACAGTTACCTTATGTGCAAAATGAGAGTAATGAGAGTGAGGATTTACCTTGAGGTTTTATTTTATCTTGAGGATTTACTGAGGTTGTTGTAAGGATTAGAAGAGTTAAATAATAAAATACTTACCAGAGTGTCTGACACATCCTAAGTATTTGATAAATGTTAGTTATTTTATTATACTTTTCCTTTTTATTTTGGCAGCTGGCCAGTATGGGGATCCAAACCCTTTACCTTGGTATTAGCAGCACCATGCTCTAACCAACTGAGCTAACTGGCCAGCCCTGTTGTTTTATTATTTATAGAGGAAAAAGTCATTTTACTTAGGTTGCTTACAATTTTATCAGACAGGTAAGGTATGCATCATGAATGTTTCATTAAGGAAACATAAGACTATATAATAATGTATAAACTATGAGTGCGGCCAGCAGCTTCTGTTACAAAAACGAAGAAACTCAAGGAGGGGACCAGATTTGGCCAACCCCTCATGGAGGAGGTGAGACTTAAGACAGACCTCAAAGTAGGTAGGAGTTGGATGGATGTAGAATACTTTGCAAAACAATTTACCTCATTTGATCTTTTTAACAACCCTGGGAGACAGAAAATCACTCTATCTCCATTTTTATAATTGCAGAAAGTGGGTGAGAGAAATAAATAGTGTGGCTGGCAGACAATCACCAGCATTCGATCCTGGACCCTGTGGCAGACAGACTCTAAGATGGCTCCCATGACCCCTGTCTTCTGGCGGTCACACCCTTGTATGATTCCCTCCCCTTGAATATGAGCAGGCCTGTGATTTGTTTCTAACCAAAGACAAACAGCAAATGTGACAGGGTGTACATGTTTACATTACATAAGATTGTAATTTCTATCTCGCTAGATGTGTCTCTCCCTTGTTGACTTTGATGCATCAAGATGCCATATTGCGAGCTACCCTGTGGAAACAGCCAGATGGTGAGGAATTGAGGTTGGCTTCTGACTAACATTCTGCGATAAACCAAGGACCTCAGTTCAGCAGCATTCAAGGATCTGAATGCTATCACCAATCACATTAGCTTGGAAGGGGATCCATCCCCAGTTGAGCCTCAGAGGAGATCTCACCAGCATCTTAAATGCAACCATATAAAACAGAAGCAGAAGGTCCAGCTAAACTGTGCCTGGACTCCTGACCCACAGAAACTGTGGGATAATAAATATGTGTTGTTTTAAACTACTAAACTTGTGGTAAGTTCTTACACAATAGATAACCAGTACAGATCACAAAGGCAGGACTCCAGGCATAACTACACTTTTCAGACCAGGAATTTTACTTTTATCCTGTGAGTACCAGACAGTCACTGGGAGGTTTTGAGCAGGCATTTAATGTGATGGAAATGGTGCATGGAAGTGACAGTAATGGACCAGACAAGAGATAAAGAAAATAGTGGCAGTGAAATAGAAAATATTTTCTCTCCTTATTGAACATTCACAACCTCTCAGAAACTACTTCTTAATTAATCCTCACAACAATCTTGCAAGGGAATTGTTTTCAAGTCTGCTTCACAAATGAGGGAAATGAGGCACAGAGCAGGTAAGTAATTTTCCCTAGGTGCAAGCCACCTGACGCCCTTCCTAATCCCTACCCTTCTTCACCCAATCCGGGACAATTTACTGTCAATATAAATTTCTGGTAAAACTTTGATACCACATTATAGAAATAATTTTATTCTCAAGCTGCTTTGGAAACAGCTCATAAACCCCCAAAGGCCTTGGTCTTAGAACATTTCTCATGTTCTAAGAAATACTGCATGTGGGACTTTGAGGATATCTGTTGTTATGTTATTTATTACTACCATCCTACAAGTGTTATATTTTATATCACCAAAAAATCACTTTATGTTGCCTTGCATTTGGCCCTTGAGGACATACTGTTCCCAAGATGTTCTTTTTAATGTTTTTTACAATTTATTCCACATCCTCACCCCAAGGCTCTCAAGCCTAAATAAAACAGACAGTTTAGCAGTTATGCAGAGAATCAAAGTCAGTTCATACACACCAATCAGATCATTTAGATAGTGGTCGATAACTCTTTGTAGTTTTGGGACCTGAATGATGATGAAATAAAACTTATATAGCAGTTTACATAGCACCAAGGCTCAAAAGGAACCATTATAGACAAAATTGGTGGCATTCCACACTACCTCTGTGAAAAGGCAGGAGAGAGGCAACTAAAACTAGAGAAGTTTGTGCATAGGGTTTGGGGAAAAGATACACATTGTTCAGGACAGCCACAAGAAATCAACACTCTCTGCCCCCATTTATAACTGTAGTAGATATCATATTTCCATCCTGTGGTAGAGCCTTTGTAATTTCAAGGACTGAACACATAAAATCCTAAATTATATTTTAAAACATTCAAGAATCTTTTCCGGCCTTAACTATATGCATAAATTAAATATAATGATTTAATTATGCTTTTGAATGTTTTCATATGAGCTTTGTCTTAAGCCATGGGTCTGGTGATCTCTACCCAAATTGTGATAATTGTATTTAAACAATTAAAATGCTTTTCTGATAAATTGTTTGAGATTTAAAGGATTGACATCTCATTTTCTCTTTTTCTATAGCTCACTATCCCCAGAACCAGGCTATACTTTCAGCAACCTCTAAACCACTTTTTCCCCTGCAGGTGTGAGAGTTCCCTGAAGACAGAAGATGAAAAACTGGGTGAAACCTTAGCATTCATCCAGGAAGTTGAAGCTCAACAAGGTCCCAGGAAAACCTCCACCCTTGGGTGCCATATGCTGGCCCAGTTTCCAGGTATAGCTCACAAAGCCACATCAGATTCAAAGATGAAAGCTACCTTGGTTACTCTTTAAATCCACCCAGAGACTCGCATACTTTAAAAAACACTTATGCTATTTAACAACGTAGGTTATCTAAGTTATATGAATATGAATTCCATCACTCCACCTTGGGATTCAAAAAGTTATTTTTTCTTTATTTTAGATGGGAGGTTTAATATTTTAAAATTTAAATGTTTTAATGTTTATAAACTGAATTTTATGTCATGGGAAAAAAAGTGCTCACTTCTGAATTCCAGTTAGTTGCAGCACAGTGATCTTCCCCCACTCCTGTACCTGTGTGTAGGCATTTATGTTTGTCAGGAAGCCTGGGACGGACTCATCAGAGATGGGCATTAAATTGACATTCTTTCCCTGGGTACAGAATAGCAGTTTAGAATTACCCTGCCCTGAATTCACTGTGACTCCTGCTGTGAAGACAGAGGAATAAGTTCAGGAATCAGGCATGCCCAAGGACCTGAGGCTCCCTGGCAGCAGGGCACTGAAGAAGCCCTAGAGACCCCACCCAAAGAGTAATTGTGGGCCTCCTGCTCTCTCTTCACAGCTTCTGACAACTCACCAAGAAATATTTATGAAGTGTTCATGGAGACATTCCGGGCTACAACAGGGCAGTCTTCAATACCCATTTCAGCTGTGTGGACAGGAGTTTGGGGCAGCTGTAATAGTCACTGTCAAATTCTGGAACAGTGAACCAGGATGCCTCTGCTATCAGTGGAATCTTTCTGCTCTCTCCAGGTATAAAAATGGTCCAGAGACCTCCTATGTTGCCAGAGATCTCCCAATTTTGCTATTAAAAATCAAGTATGCTCTTTCTGAAATTGCTTTTAGAAGGCTCCAATTTCTTCCTAAAGACATTGGGTTTACCTTTGTGCAAGTTAAGGTCAGAATTGAGTTGCACTAACAAATAAGAAAGATTCTTATTAACTTTCTGTGTGCTTAAAATCTTACTCTTATTTATTCTATTTTACCTCCCCAGTTAGTTTAATGATTTGACTTTCCTGCTGTTTACTAATGTTCTGATTAATATAATAGATCTGCTAATTTCCCATATCTGTACCTTCGGGGAAGATATTTAAAGGATCATGTTTCAAAAAGCAAACCAAAAATAAACTTACAAAGAAGGGACAATGGAATTAAAAAAAAAAAAAAGCAATATCATTTTACTGAGAAGATAATTACAGTTTAACTGGAAAATATTCAATCTCAAACATGAGAACCGTATTTGCTATAAAGCAAGGAGGAGCAATGAATTGTGTATCATATGACAAGAGATTGGTAATTAACTTTCACTGAATTTCTGAACGATTTGGAAAACTTTCATTTTTCAAACAACGAGTTTCACATATGTCAAGACTGCTCCTGATGTTGCTAAATAAAACAAAAGGGTTTCACATATTAATTACTGAACCAACCTGGTAGTGCAGAAGCATAGAAACAAATAGAGAAATCATTTTCCCAGTAAAACATGACCGACTGTCCAGATAGTGGTGACATTTTCAGCTTGGTATGTTGAGGTGATAGTGACCTTGATACAGTGTAAACCTATGTGTCATCTCATGTGCAGTTCCTTATAGAACTAGCTTGGTTCTTCTCCAATGTCGCCTCTTGGAGTTGTACCTAATTTTATTACCAGTTTTAATCCAAATCTACTGGGGAATGGGACAATCTTGCTTTTGTTTCTCAGCCGGGAATCGCTTGATCCCAAAACTCTTGTGAGAAGATATGGCAAGGAATGGAGTTAACTGCACACACCATGATGGCAGAAAAGGGGAGAGAGCTTTGGAGACCTGTTTTGAACCAAGCTCTTTTCCTTATCTCTATCTGATGGACCCCTCCACACTCCTAGGTAGGCAGCTTTTATGACACTATGCTGATCAAGTTTGAGGCCCTCTATTGTTCTAAGGTATATTCTCACACTTGATCTAAGGATTGCCATACTAGGTCAGATCCATAGGCTGACAAGCCCAATATTCTGACTCCTGAGAATTACACCAAGGGACAATATGGGAATGGCAGATTGTCCACAATAATGTTGTCCTGATAGGATGTGAACATACATGTGCCATACAGCCCAAATTTCCCTTCCTGTATCAGTTGTCTATTATTACAACAATACTACATAACAAACAACCAAAAACCTCAATAACATAAGTATTTATTGTTTATGTGCCTAGAATCACTAGGGGTTGGCAAGCAGATCTACTGATCTTGGCTGGATTTGCTTACAACTCTGGGGCTTGGCTTCCATTGGGGCAACTCTTTCATGTGTCTTTCATTTTTAATTGGCTATCCCAGGCAGATTCTCATGGCTAAGGCAAAGATCCAAATGACAACCCCATTTTCAAGTCCATCCAAGTCTCTGCTTTCATCAAGTCTGCTAACACCTCACTGGTCAAAGCAAGTCACATGGCAAAGGACACAGTCACATAACCTTCGGTAAGATGGCACTGCAAAGTGACATGACCCTGGGCATTATTATACGGAAGGGGGAAGAACTGGGTCTATCAGTACAATTGACCATACTTCCTTACTCACGGTGGATCTGCACCTTATATATTTGCTTAAATTCTTCAAAGACCTATTTATAATTTTCATTATTTCACATTTTTTACATTAAAGAATGGCCCAGTTTTAAGTCTTAACAGTTTTATCACCTGTGGTATAAATAGTACTTCCTTCTATTTATTTTAAATTTATCTCTTTTGAGCTCTCAGAGGCACCACCATTCTTTTATGAAGAGATTTGGCCAATACAGCTGTGAATACTCTATCCTTTCTTGTTCCATCTCGGACTTTTTTTTTTTTTTGGAGTCAGGCTTTGTGCTGCTCCCTACTTTTCTGATCCCCTTAAATCATTCTGATTGCCCTTTTTGGAGGGATAGTCTTCCTTTCCAAAATTCTTCCTTTAAGCATGACCAGCAGTATTGTGTTTTTAAAGGCATAGGATAATGTTCTCTCTTTTATTTGCAGAACGTTCTGGATGATGCCAGCCATTATGGCTATGGGAACTAATTGATTAAACTCTTTGGGGGACAATCTTGAATAACTCCTAGGTCCTTTTCCTGAGTCAAAAGTGACTTCTCATGGCTCATCCGCTCCCAGGAACAGCCAACATACATACACCCTGGATTTTCTAGACCAGTTCCAATTTATGTCATTTTACTACATATCACAATTTTTGGTGGCAAAATTATGCTTTGGTTATAGTTTGGATCAGTTTTTCCAAATATTTGTCTATGTATTAATAATCTGCCAAAAACTTGATTCATGGCATATTATAAATATTTGTTTTATTGAAGAACTTTTCAGAATTTGTAAAACTTTTTTGAGGTAATAGGCATATCACAAAACCAAGATTAGAAATACTAAATGGCCTTAAAATATTAATAGTAATTTCAAATATTTTACTTATCTTCAGTTAAAAGTGTGTTATTGCTCAGCAAATGTTAAACACAGGGGATCACAGAGCAAGTTATTTTCTCTGTCCAAGAAGTTCATTTACAGTTAACCTCAAAGAAAATAAACTAGATCAACAGATAGTCTCATTAAAATAAATCCACACTGTTTTTAATTTAGTGAGTCAGCGCATGTCTTAGAATGGATGCTGATCTGTGATAAAACACAGGGTAAAGTCAGTAGTATGTAAATTTATAGGAACAAATTCTCCCCTTTGTGCAGGAAAGGTTTGTTGGCAAGATACACAGACGGAGGTGGATATTTCTCAGTTCTTGACCCTGAGTTCTCTGCTGCCTGCAGGCCAAGAAGCAGGGAAAGAAAAGAACATAATGGCTGCTTCTGGGAACTGTGTTGCCCCCAAGTTCATATTCCTCCCAGCAGCTGTTCTATGAATTTCCAAAGAGCTTCAGAAATGGAGATTCCCATTTCCCCCAGCTGTGACTTTGTCAGGTAAATCTTTATTTTAGAACTGTCCACTTGAGATAGCAGCAAGATTGTTGAGCTTTCCATAATGCAAAGCCCCCGAATAATAATCTTGTTGTTGCCAACACTGATGTAGAGAAGGCAGACACAGTATCACTGTCAAGATCACACACATATTCTCTGACTTCAGCAATCCCGTATAGTATATACTATATTGCTACTATTATGGTCATAATCTTCATTTTACAAGTGAGGAAACTGAGACTCAAGGAAGTTAAGAAACTTGCTCAAGACCTTCAGCTTGTAAGAGTCAGAGCTAGGATCTGATCCCAGGCTGTCCAGCCCCAGAGTCCACACTTACACTATCAGAAAGTTCTACTTGATCGCACTCCACTTGTAGCAGCCTGCTCATCTCGTTCCCTCTTGTAGCCTGGCCCAGCCCATTGCTTCAGAGGATCTCAACACAAGCAATCAGAGAATAGTAGGAGGCATCACTTCCCTCCACACTCATTGCCTCCTTTCCCAGGTAAACCCATACAGGTGTACCGAAGTGCACCAATGCACACTTCACCCCTGCTTGAGGAAGGAGGTTCCAGGCCCCTTGCTTGCTTTTTGTATTTAAATATTCTCACTTTTTTTTTTAAAGGGCCCATACTTTCCTCCAGCTTAGCGATACTTAGTGATCTATGCTCTTTAATTTCTCGTCTTTGCTCTAATCAATAGGTACTATTCAAAAGTGATAGCACTTTAATGATCCAGAGATCGTTTCAGCAAACATCACTACATCTCATTTCCTAATGTGCCTTCTCATCATCTGGGATCTCAACAGAACTGTGATATGTCTTTACAAAAAATCCTAACTCCCTCTCACAGTAATAACATTGATGTCTTACAGCGACCCTATGAGGCAGATATGAGTGTCATCTTCTTTTTCACAGGTGAACAAACTAAGGCACATAGCAGCTAATTAACTAGCTCAAGTTCTCCCAGCTAAAAAGTGGTGGAGCCCAGATTTGGACATAAGCAGTCTGGCTCCAGAGATCTTAGGCATGATATTAGTATACCTTCATGACCACCCAAGAGCCATCCAGCTGAGAATAAAAACAAATGCACAGTACACTGCAGTCATCTCCAACAGCAATCAAAATAAATTGAGAAAAAGCAACAATGAAGAGCTAAAGAGATGAAGAGAAGTAAGACAAAAATGTGAGACAAGAAAAAACAACTCTTGTGACAACATTAGGCTGTCAAAATCTCCTGGGTTTCCTTGAGCTTCAGAAAAATAGAAAAAAAATCTCTTGGTGGATTTCAAATGAGGCAGTAGGTCTCAGATTTGATCTCTTCAGTGAATGGCAGTGATTTAATTTAAACATGCAACCCACTAATCGTTTGAAAAAACAAACTCCCAATCTACATTTTTTAAGGAAAGGATTGCCGAACAAGTGCCACAAAAATGTTTTCTTAAGTAATGGTGTTCAATTTTCCAGCACTTAAATGTGTAAGGATGCTGCTTTGGGATCTGTGAGAGAAGAAATTGCTAAGTGCTTGCACTTGTCAAACAAAGCATCTTGCTTTCCCAGAGCATTTTGACATTGGTCAGAACTGGTTTAATTATAGTTTTTCTTGAAGGGCTCTGGCTGGATTCTATGACCCTTAGAAATCCCTCAGAGCTCTGTGACAATGAGGGTAAGAATTTCCAAGTTCAGCCTCACCTGACCCACGGTTAGCTTAATTGATAGATAGTTCTTTCACTAAGCCTCCAGTTGCATTTTTCAGTTAATGTATCATTTGTAGAGAGTCTTTAGATATTTCTGTTGACATTATAGGCTAAAGGAAATTATTAACACAATAACTTATGCATTTCAATGAAATGCTTTGAATGCCCAACTATAATGAAAATTATGGTGGTAACTTTATAAAACATATTCACTTGTTTTCAAGAATCTGAACTGAGACCCGTGAATTATTTTTAACTGTTTCCCAAATGAGCCCCAAGGTCAATTAAGTTTAGTCGTCTGGGAGTCCAAAATCAGAGATATGGAGGCAAACATCCAATCTCACAGCTCACAACATTTCTTTGATTACCCTTTTCAGTTTTAGGAGAGTAATCTAATCCTTAAGAAGAAACAAATACTTCTACATAGCCATGAAAACTCACCATCTTTTGGACATTCTCTTCGGTAATATTGGTGTTATAATCCCAAGAAGCAAGAGAGCTTTCATAAAACAGGTCTTCAGCTTCATGGTTAAACTTGTCCAGAAATGTCTTGGCCAGTTCCTCAATGGTAAATTGAGCAGCAGTTACAGAAATAAGGCTGAGAAGGAGCCAGAAGCAGCCTGACATCTTTCCCTGTGCGCCAAGATCCCATCCACTGAACAACTTTCCCTAGAGGAAAACCTCCTCATGACTTTTTCTCTCTCATCAGCCTTTGAACTTGGGTTGGGCACTGAGCAGAGAAGACCAAAAAAAAAAAAAAAAAAAAAAAAGAAGAAGAAGAAGGAGGAAAAAAATAAGGAAGGAAAAAAACAGTAAACAATCTGCTGAACCAATATAAAGAGAGGACACATATACATACAGATTTTAGAATGACTTTTTAACTAAACCAAATAAACAAATGTTATTCATTAATTCTAGAGAACCTTAGATCTCCTAGCAATTTATGGCCAAATCAAAACTTGTACATTTGGTTAATATGTTCCTAAAAAGCTGTTAAAGATAAAAGGAAGGTGTTATAATTTTACAGTGACCAAGAGGCCCAGAATTAGGGATCATGGGGGTAATGTTGGCATTTATGTTTCTCAGACAATTCCATTAAGAGTCAGTTATCCCTCCTTTATTATTTTTTTTATTTTTATTTTTTTCCTTTTTGTCTTTTTTCATGTCCGGCAACGGATTACAACCCTCAGTGTCGCGCCCGTACCGGGCCGGGACCCGCAACGGGATCGCAACCCTCAGTGTTGCTCCCACACCTCGCTCAGCCAGTGAGCGGGAACCGGTCTGTATGTGGGATCCGAACCCTTGGCGGGAGCGCCACCGCGCTCCCAAGTGGCGCACTGTAGCAGTGCGCCACTGGGCTGGCCCCTCCCTCCTTTATTTTTATTTCAAGCTCATATTCACAGAAACTATCTACATGGGTAACATTTTCCCTTCCAAATAAATCACTTTGCCCCTGTTTTTATGGGATTTTTTTTTAATCAATTTTAACTTCCATGGCCATTTAAAAAATTATGACTACTCTCTCCTCCACCGATTAACTCTCCTGATCGGGCTTTGGAAAATTTAAAAAGGCTCATTTTCTATTTCTCATATGACCATATTAAACCCTGGTTCTATGACTGACTTCATTGTATACCTACTTCCCTTCTACTTACCTGTTCAAAACTCAGTCAACATCACAAGAAAGTAAGAATGCCTCTGTGTGTTTGAAATCCAAAGAGTGTCCATGTAAAGTTCTGGTCATCCATAGCCATGGTATCATGACAACATGGAATTCAAGAGATTTTATTGGTTAGCCTGTCAAATCTCAGGACGTGGCTCAGTGTTGTCATTCCCAGAGTGTAGGCATGAGTATCATACAGAAAAGAGAGGGGCCACTTTAAATGGCCTGGCTTTTGATTGGGCCTGCCTGACTGTGATTATGAAACCTTCACATGGAGAAAACATTTCTCCAACCAGAAAAACAAGTCTTCCAGGTTCAGGGGAAATGGCAATGACTAAGCCTTAAAAAAAATTTCACTACCTACTTCTCCTTCCAAAGTTGTGCGTATTATTGTAGAAGAGGAAAAAACAATTATAAGTAACTGTTCAAAGTGCTTTGTGTTGTACTATCTCACTTAAGTATCACAACAAACCTACAGGCAAGTATTTTTATTAAGACTCTGGTTTGACTCTGAGCAATGTGCAAAGGCACTGGAAGGATTCAAGCTGAGAAGTGACCTGGCAAAAGTTTTAACAGAATCACTGGCTGCTGCTTAGAGAACAGACACTAATAGGTTAAGGGTGGAAGCAGGGAGACCCGTTAGCGAGCTACTGTAAAAGGTAAATCCATCTCAGATTATTTTCGGCTTTGTTAACAGAAGTATTAGATACAAAATAATCTAGAGGATCATGTTCATTTCTGAGGACCACAATTTTAGAGACACAGAGAGTATCCAGAGAAAAATAAATATGACAGTAGATAGGTCTAAAATATGAGTTTGAAGAACAGCTCAGACATGGAAGAGAAGATTTAGTGTACACAGCTCCCCTCCATCACAGTACTGTCATTTAGAAGATTTGGGTAGCATAACAGTTTTACTCTGCCACTTGTTAACCGTGTGACATTAGGCAGGCAATATCCTCCCTGCTCCTAGTTTCCTTATTTTAAAGCCGATGATAGTATCATAAGTACCTCATGAGGATGTGATGAGTATTATATGAATGAATACACGCAGAACAATGCTGGTAGTCTAGTAATAAAAGCCAATCAAAATGAAAGAAGCAGTATTATAAATGGGAACTTCCATCCCTCCACAGAATGTGTAAGCGAACCATCTGCAAGGTCATCTTTCAAGGACACTGCAGCAGAGATTGGCTGCGAGTTTCACTCAAAGGTCCATTTGGACTAGAAAAATCCTGCATTGTAGAAGTTTGCTGCCCTGTGCTGAAACAGTAGAATGGAGGAGCTCACCAGGGGAAGGAGAAGGGTCATTTGTGAAAGAAAAAGGGAGCCTGCATGAGCTGGCCATGGAGAACTTCTCAGGTGCTTTGGTCACCCGATTATGGTCAGGTCCTCGTATAAAACCTACATGCAATAAGGAGAAAACTTGAGTCCATCACTGCTATCTCGAGGGAGAAAGGGAAAGCCATAAATGTAAATGACTCCCCTCCCAATACTTAACAGATGTTGTGTTTGTTGATTGCACATACTTTGCATCAGGCTTTGTACATAAACTCTTCACAACAACGATTACAGACAGGAATTGTGAGATCCATTTTGTAACTAAGGAAACCAAGTTTCCAGCATTCTTGTGACTGGAAAATATTCCCACAACTGATAGTGGGGCTGGATTTTGTCCTCGAGCTATTTAAGAGACCTCTTCTCTCCACAGAGTCATGGGTTCACTCATCTGCTAACTTCATGCAGATTTAGTAAATCCTCATCAATCTGTCATATTCTGAGAAGAAGCAGGCCCACATAAGCAAAACTAAAATGTACTGCTTTGATCATACCAGTTTTACATTGTTAAATCATTTTAAGTAGAAATATTTCTAAAATGTATTCCATCCTTATCAAGGTGTTGCCTAGACATTATTTTATGTGTGTGCACGCGCGCGCGTGCGTGTGTGTGTGTTTTCATATAACTCAGTGTTATCTTGAATATTATTAATGGCTAGGCTAAAATGTGACATTGTCTTTAGGGCTTTACATTACATGGCTCCAAACAACTTTATTGCTATTAATTCTGCTGTCTCTGCACATTCTGAATTTGCTTTTACTTGTTGGACCATCAACTTCTGATAGCCCTGCCCACCACGATTCCCCTCCCTTTCTGATCTGCTGTCTGTTAAAACCTAAATGGAAACTAGATAACCATGGAGTTCAATCAGAAGGCTCTCTCATCATAAGCTCAAACCTAGGGGTGGGTCTTCACTCTGCTAAAGCAAAGTGCATAGACTTTGAGATCCATATTTCCCTTATTGCTCAACTTTTTATGCATACCCAGCTGAGTCACAAATGGTGAGGATAACAAATAGCTACAGTGAAAACCTCCTCCAGTTCCCCAGGTGGAGAGGGTAACTTTGGTAATGAAAAGAAAGGGTGTTTCGTGCAATTTCTTATCTTAATATCGATTAATGCTTCTGACAGGAACAAGAGAAGGTATCAGGAATACAAAGCATAAAGAAATGTAAAACTTTACATAACCAAGAATTATTTGCACTTAGTACAATTGATTTTGACCACGTGTTTATCACACATAGTGGATTTATAAGTGCTTTACAGAAAAGAGATAGCAAGTTGGCTTTTCAGCCTAAAGGAGAAGCTAAAGCTCTTTCCTGTTTACATTTTTAGTTGGATAGTCCTTTTTTTCCTACAGATAGAGCAAAGATAATCTTCATCAACCATATTGACAAATATTTTCAACAGAGTTCAAATTTGTGAGGATAAACTGTGGGTTCCATGGAGGTTGTACTGATTGTTACTAACCTGAATTTATGATAATACATTGCTTGCCACAGTAACCCTAACTTATTTCCACACCTAGACTATACAAAATATCAGATAGCACTAGCACAAGGGAGATACTAGTATAAATTTGCATCTAGGGCCTTAGAAGCAAAACTTGAGCCTTTTTCCTAAATGAAATGGGATCCATAGAGTTTGAACAAAAGAGTAACATGATCTCGCTTATATTTTAAGAATCACTCTGGCTGCTGTATGGAGAAGAGACTATCTATGGGGCAAGACTACAGGCAGAGAGATCAGTGAAGAGGCCATTTCAACAATCCTGGTAAGATATGACACTGTTTTGGTGGTAGCAGCAGAGTTGGTAAAATATGGTGGAATTTGGAATACATTTTGAAAGTAAAGCTAACAGGATTTTCTGGTGAATTTGATATAGGCTATGAAAGAAAGAGATTCAAGGATCACTCCAGGGTTTTTGGATTGAAAAACTAGAACAAGATCGACATCAATTTAGATGGGGAAGGTTGCTGGTAATATAGGTTTGCAGGGATCTGTTAAAAACCCAACTGAAGATGTTGAGAAGGCAATTGGATATAGAAATCTGAAGTTTGGCAGAAAGGTCATGTATTAGTCCATTTCTGTTACTTGTAACAAAGTATCTGGAACTGGGTAACATTTTAAAAAATGAAATTTATATTGCTTACAGTTTTGGAAGCTGGGAAGTCCAAAGTCCAGGGAACAAATCTGGTGAAGATCTTGGTGATGGCGACAGTGACCGAGGGGTCTCACATGACAGAAAATGGCAGAGCAGAGAGAGAGAGACTAACCTCTCATGTGCTCTTCATGTGCTCTCCTTTTTAAGCCCTCAGAAGCACATCCACGACCATTTTGAATCCATTCATTAGGCATGGTCCTCAGAATCTAATCACCTCTTCAAGGCCCCACCATTCAATTACCATAATAGGATTTCCCACTTTCTTAACAGTCACAGTGGGGCCAAGTTTCTAATACATAAAGCTTGGGGGACACAATTGAATCAATCCACAGCAGGTCAGAAATGGAGATATAAATTTGAGAATTGTCAGCTAGAGATGGTTAGTCAAATATGTCTTTTCAGCTAGGATCAAAAGGAAAAGATCCTACTTCTTCAGGATCCCAGTGTGCTGAAAAATTTCAT